GACAACAGCAGAGACAATGTCAAAGTAACATACATTAGACCACTCATGAGTGGCAATAGCTCCAAAAAGTGTAAGCAAGGCTACTGCCCACGATCTGCAATGTAGATAGTGGCTTACTGTTCTGACTGGCACCACTTGTGATGACTTAAGATACACCTGGAGCCTGTGACACATGAATATTTGCTGCCATTTGGGGGCTAGCAGGAAATGAGCATTTTCTTAATTGGCCAATTACATTCGCGAATTAAACACATTCTGATCAGATGGGCCACCCAGCATCATGTCACCTTAATTCGCCTTGCCCCAGCAACAAATCACTTACTCCCACACTAATGCATTTATGAGAAGCTTGCCACAATGAGCTCGACTACTGAAATGACCACCTCTGAATGATTCATACTTAGTGGCAAAATTGTGGTTGGACATTGCTACTGGCTCTTAGTGACAATCTTAAGTGCCTGGAAAGCAACAACTTCCGTTATAGCATGCAAGGCTTCCTTACAAGGTGGAACCGTCCGTTCCGAAAAAGTGAAGCACCGAGCGTGCGTGAGAATAGAGGTAGTTTGTAGGCAAAGCCTGCACGACGTCACGTACACCATATTTGATTACGTCAGTGGCATGGAAGCCTCTCAATTAGCCAGCTGACTGCTACACAACCCATTAGTTTGAATTGTGAGTGTGCCTTGGTGGCGTGCGGCTGGCGGTTCCCACGTGGACTGAGAAGAAATTATCCGTCACTTCGGTATTCGCACACATTTCTGGAATGAACGGTGAGTCCTGAAACAGTTTAGCCTCCTCAGAATGTATCATTCTTGCATGCATGATTGTATAACACAGGATTATATGTCATGCGGCGTTTGTGGTGTATTGCATTCCATGACCAGGCTTGTCCAAGGCTGGCTTGTCGTTAGATAGCCTCAGGCTTAGTGCCTGGTGGTAGAGTTGAACAGTTCAACTTCGCAGAATTTGCTCTATATATGGGTATGATTATAATGAACATTTGCATTATTGATTTGTGACAGCTCCCACCCTTATCATCACAGTGATGGTGTCAGGTGAGTACAGCAAATTCCTATGACATGGGCCTTATGATGCTACAGTCAACAGTGTTTTGTACTTCACGGGCTTGTATAGTTTTGCTTCATGTGTGCATCTGCATTCGCCTATTTTTACCATTGCTAACACCCAATCGGAAAAATAATCATTATGGTGTGTTACCATCAAGCATGTGTATGTTCATCAAGCATGCGTGTTACTATTATGTGTACCTACAAGCATGCACACATATGCATAATAAAATGCTAACAGGTCAAGCATTTTAAATGCTACGTATCGTTCAAAACAAACTGCACAGCAAATCTCACGTACAAATCGTAGTCATGGCAACTGATGGCAACCCACGGTTATGAAACGCCAAGCAACTGCGAGACGCGGTGCGCTACAAACGCCGCATGACGTATAACCCCTGAGTTGTGTATAACCCCACCGAAAAATATAAAATTATGATGGGGTTATAAAATATGATGTTTGAAGATTCAATCCCCTTCAAAAAAAAAGTGTTTACATGACAGAACCGTGGACCTATTCATTCAGAGTCAAACCGGGAACGGCCAACCGCACGCCACCAACACATTCTCACCATTCAAACCAATGGCTTGTTTAGCAGTCAGCTGGCTAATTAGGAGGCTTCCGTGCCCCTGACGTCATCAAATATGGTGCACATGACGTCATCCAGGCTTTGCGCCCAGACTACCTCTTTTCCCACGGAGCTCGGCGTTGCCACTTTTCGATAGTGTTAAACGATATGGATGACATCCCCGGATAGGATGGCTGTGCCCCCCCCCCCCCCCCCCCCCTGCAGCTCAGCGGCAAGTGTTACGTGAGTGCCAGCATTATGCATAGGTAGTTATTTTTGTTGGATTATATAAATGGAAGCAGATGACAACTGCCATCACTCGGGAAAGAAACATACCATTATGGTTAGCAAATTAAGATGCTAAAAATTGCGTGTCATGATACGATCATGCAGCAACTGAGAAATGACCATTTCACAATTTTTGGAATAATTGGATGCAATAATGTTGTCTTTCCTGCCCGACATGCAGAATATGGAACAATGACAACCTTGTTCAGGTCAACTAAGGAAAGACAATCTGTATGTGTAGCTTGACCATCTCCTGGTGTTGCCTGTCCAATGCAGCATCGGCATCTGAGCGCGGGATTTCCATTCACGACTTGCCATGGACTGGCAAAACAGAATGCAGACATTTGCTCTCTTGATCATACCAGGGTCGAAACACCGCTTTGATATCATTGCAGTTCGCAGTATTATGCTGATATAGACCGATGGATAGGTGACACAAACAGCTGTACTTGCACAGTGTAAAGACCATGATACGTGGACCAGCCAGGCAATCTTTGCTCAAAATTCATGACAGATGTTTTATTATGGCATCAATTAAGCTACCTGCCTCATGGCTGACAGATATTCACTACAAACAGGCACCAAGGTAACATATCTACTCACAAATACAAAGACGGGTAGCATTATGCACTACATACAAGTCCATGCTGCATATGTTTTTGGGATAAGTATTACGTAATTCATATGCGTGATTTTTTGCAAAAATAAGCAAACCTAAATTTAACAATTCTGGTGCAATCATAAACACAATTCCGAGCTGACTGCGACGCATGTGTAACAAAATAATTATTGACTTTTTACATACTGCAGGAATTATTGAACTACCAATCTCGCCCACATCACACTGATAAGCAGCCAATTGCCTGACAACATCAGTAGCAACTATTTGAGTCCTCTGTTTCCCTGCCATTTGATGACAGATGGTGTCCCACTGTTCTGAATTGTGACGTGACTTCACATCTCTTTAAGGGGCCAGTCATTTAATATAAAGCATATCCCTCCATCCAACAGCTTGTCAACCAAGTATTTAAGACATACGAAGAATGTCTGCAAAAAGGCCTGGAACCCATACGTGTTAACTAACAGAAATTCGATAGTATTCCCTGGAAGTATTTCAAGAGCAATCCAAAGACGAATAAGGTGAGCACAAAGCCAAACTAAGTAAAATGGCCAACGTTATCTCCACATAGTTTTTGGAATTATGGAGCCCACCCCAGATGTAAATTAATCTAACCTTGAGACAGAAACATAAAATAAAACAGAGCTGACGCCTACGTCCTGAATAGGGCGGCCGCCTAACAAGCGCAACTGACGTCAGCATTTCTGTGCCTATTGCCATTCCAGGCCCCCAGTAATTGGAACGTTTGTATCAGTATGGTTAATTTCGCCTTCTCCCCGTTTTTTTTATCTTTCTTATCCATCTTGGACTCGGATCGTTTTGAACAATAAGCAAAACCCTTGAAAAAGCGACAACACCAAATGGAACTGAACAAGCCTTGAACAGAACTGCATGTGCCAGGTTATTTCATTGAGAACGGCTTCCGGCTTACTTCGAATTACAGCTGCCCATGTAAACAGGGTACCTGTGACGGCGGAAGCCTTTTTCGAGTAGGCGCGAAACAGCCTCGATGTCGACGGCCCTAAAACACTACCACTACCACACCACCAGAACTACCACAGAGTACTACCGCAGAATACAACCACGGAGGAGTTCGGGACCTCACTGCACTCGGCTTTTTCCATGGCACGCGATTGAAAGTAGAGCTAACATCATCAAATATCAGTCCCATTCCGCCAGGTAAGGAACGTCTACCTCCTACCGCAAACCACCCCTTCAGCCGCCGCCTCTGCTCCGGTGGCGGCGAACACGGGGCGGGGGAGGGGGGGGGGGGGGGGGCAACACGTCCTGACGGAAGTGTTCCGCAGGCGGGACGGACCCGGCCCGCGGTGGAGTGGAATTGTCTGATCAGGGAGGGTGGCATAGACGCCGGCCAGCAGTGCTGTGGAGCTGTCTGATCAGGGAGGGAGGGACGGACCCGGCCCCCAGTGGTGTGGAGCTGTCTGATCAGGGAGGTGGAGTGGAGCTGTCTGATCAGGGAGGTGGAGTGGGGCTGTCTGATCAGGGAGGGCGGGACGGACCCGGCCAGCGGTGGAGTGGAGCTGTCTGATCAGGGAGGGAGGGACGGACCCGGCCAGCGGTGGGGTGGAGCTGTCTGATCAGGGAGGGCGGGACGGACCCGGCCAGCGGTGGAGTGGAGCTGTCTGATCAGGGAGGGCGGGACGGACCTGGCCAGCGGTGTTGTGGAGCTGTCTGGTCAGGGAGGGAGGGACGGACCCGGGCAGCGGTGGAGTGGAGCTGTCTGATCAGGGAGGGCGGGACGGACCCGGCCAGCGGTGGAGTGGAGCTGTCTGGTCAGGGAGGGAGGGACGGACCCGGCCAGCGGTGGAGTAGAGCTGTCTGATCAGGGAGGGAGGGACGGACCCGGCCAGCGGTGGAATGGAGCTGTCTGATCAGGGAGGGCGGGACGGACCCGGCCAGCGGTGGAGTGGAGCTGTCTGGTCAGGGAGGGCGGGGCGGACCCGGCCAGCGGTGGAGTGGAGCTGTCTGATCAGGGAGGTGGGGTGGAGCTGTCTGATCAGGGAGGTGGCCGCCGACGACGGCGACGGCCGCGCGTTGCTGCTTAAGAGGAAGAAAGCCAACGGACAGTGTCACATGGATAAGGGTGAACCGAAAAAACTGATTTATGGTAAATGGACGAGGCGGTGGTTTATTTGCTTTTGGGGACGGCTTCTTTTATTTTGACGCTTAACATAACTACAAAGCTGGTGGTTTGTTAAATCCCAATCGTCCTGATTGCTGAATTGCGGTTCAAATCGGTGCAAGGGAAACAACGCATTTTCTCGTAGCACTGACAAATTCTAGCCAACGAAAGTACATCACCGAGCATTCCGAACCACTGACGGGTCGACGCGAATGTCAATGGACCTATGTCAACGTCGGTATAGAGAGAACACCGCGGCTCCCTGACAACGCTGGCGCGTTCGGCGAGCCGCGTCCGACGTTAGGTGTACTCACAGATCGAAGACCAGGTAGTGAAAGCTCTCCTCTTGTATGCTATCGTGCAGACGCACTGAAAACAATACGGGCTGGTCAATACAGCGCCGCACGCTACATTTGAGAAGAGGGTGTGTTCGGCAGGTCGCGAGGGTACGTCCCTCGGGGCTGGTGGCGCGTCGACTGCGACTGGCTTTTTGAATCTAGGCGCCGCACGCTACACTCGAGAAGAGGGTGCGTTCGGCAGGGTGCGAGGGTACCTCCCTCGGGGCTGGTGGCGCGTCGACCGCGACTGGCTTTTTGAATCTTGGACTGAGGTTCAATGTTGCTTTATGATACGTTAGCCTTACTTACGCAATTCACGGGTCATGTCAACTTTAATAAATCGAGTGACGTCTATTGTGTCTAAAAAAGTAGGTGACTACTCGGGTGTTAGGCTGAAGTTTTCCACGTTTAAAAAGTAGGTGACTAGTCGCGAGTGGTGGGCTGAAGTTTTCCACGTTTAAAAAGTAGGTGACTAGTCGCGAGTGGTGGGCTAAGTTTTCCACGTTTAAAAAGCAAAAAGCTGCTCCAGGAGCCAGCGCTCGTGATGCTTGATGAGATAGGCAAAAATGGTGCCAAAGACGAGGCACGGTAATGACGCCAAGGACAAGATGAGATGAAACGAGATCAAACATGACAATTGGCGAGGCAGGTCTGACATGATGAGACATGACGAGCATTGCGACACATGAGGCAAAGGTCAGGATGATGAACAGAGGGGCGAAACATGTGAGCCATGATGACACGATGCGACAAGCGAGATACGAGGCGTGTTACAAGTGATACCTAGGGAGGCAAGTGAGACACGAGGAGATGGACGAGAGATGACAGGGGGCATCTGATGGGCCGACTGGCCTAGCCGACAGACCAACTGGTCTTGCGAACCGTGCGGGGATGTCAGGAACTCTCAATCACTGGTCCCTGACACAGGGCACAGCACACTTACTCATCATCATCATCATCATCATCATCATCATCATCATCACGACTACTACTACTACTACTACTACTACTACTACTACTACTACTACTACTACTACTACTACTACTACTACTACTACTACTACTACTACTACTACTATCACTACTACTGCTACTACTACTACTACTTATAATAACAATCATCATCATAATCATCGCCATCATCGGTATTATCATTAATATCATCATCATACGCTTTAGTATACGTTTGTTACGGCTCAGCGGTATTCGCGTGGCGTTCATTTTGGTAAATGCATGCTTTTAATGTCTCCCCCAAACTCATGAAAGTTCACACCATGCTCTTTCTAGTTGTGTTTGTTTGATCTTTTTTCGGTTATGTTGGATGCCACCTTCACCGTCCCTTACTATGATACAAGAAAAGCATCCGTATATTGTTATTGTGACAAAAAAAACGAACGTCCCCCGCAATATACAACTTCATAAATGACATCCAGGTTGCGCAGTCACCAGTAGCTGGGGTGTTTGAAGTCCGCAAGCACTACGCGAACTTAATAATTCCAGCAGAGCATCTCGGGGAGAAACAATCACAGCGAAACGGGTGGTGCACTGTCGCTGTAACTAACATTTTAAAATGCCTCGCGAACAGCCTTTCTGCTCACCGACCAGCAACTCAATTATTTCGCTGGCGTTCGCAGCATCGCTGATATGGCTTCCGCTGACCCAGTCCGAAAACATCGACTCTACCGACCTCCCGGGCTGCGGAAAACAACAGCCCAAGTTGGGAACACAGGAGGAGGGCGTTCGGCTCCCGAAGGCGAAGGGGACCACCTGCGGACCCCTGGCGTGGGCGTGGCACTACACCACCCCAAGCACAGCCCGGCTCCCGAGGGGGAAGGGGACCAACTGCGGACCCTTAGCGTGGGCGTGACAACTGTACCCCACCCTAAACACAGCTATGAGCACATAGCTGAATGCCAAGACAACTGGACTGGACGCCAACTCGTGCCCGTTCCCCCCGAACCTCCCCAGATGTGCCGCCCCCGGTCCAGGTCAATATTGAGACCAACCGAGCTAAGAGATTGGTCCCACAGGACAAACGACCCTGCAATTCGTCACGTTCGGAAGAAAGGTCATCAGCGGAGCGTCGCCCCGTCCGTAAGAGCGTTCGGGCGGAGAACGACACGGCGGAACGATCGCCTCTCCAGCTGAGCAGCCGCCGGCCCCCGACGCCCGACGCAGCGCCCCTCCGTCTCCGCCCTCGGCCAAACCGCAGCCAATGCCGGCCGGTTCGCAGGCAATCTCCGGCACATTCGCTCCCCGTCTGCGGGCCGTCCGCAGGCCATTCTGACTGCGCTCAGCTCGGGCACGCGGCGGCAGGCTGCCGGCGCAATCAGCCGCCGACAGGGGCCGTCGCGAGTCCGGCGCCGAGTGGCGCGCTTGCCGCCGCCGGGGTGGTTCCCGTTCCCGTTCCCGTTCCCGTCGGCGGCTCTCGTTCGTCTAGGCGTGCGTTCTTCCTTTCCCGTCCTGACATTACTTCCTACAGACCTAAGCATTACAGTGCCATTTTTAATGGCCAAATCCAGGGGGGACCGGACCCAACACCACACAAACACACATTTCCATCATTTAACACAACACTGCATGTGGAACCATGAGCAGCCAAACCTTTTCTCCACACCATTAAATTCATTGCAGTTCAGCAGGTCAGCACAATCCCCTGTTTCCATATTAAAATCGCGCGGGCTTGGTAACCTTTGACCGTACACAGTATGACCCTCTCACCCCAGCAGCCTGGAAGGTGGTGCAGCGTCGACTGAGCGTCTCTCTCCAGTCCGCCATGCGACCCAGCCCGAGCCTCCATCCAGCATGGCTCCTCTCCGAGCCGGACAAACCACCGCCAGGCCGGGCCTCCATCCAGCATGACTCCTCTCCGGGCCGGACAAACCACCGCCAGGCCGGGCCTCCGTCCAGATGGCTCCTCTCCGGGCCGGACAAACCACCGCCAGGCCGGGCCTCCGTCCAGATGGCTCCTCTCCGGGCCGGACAAACCACCGCCAGGTCGAGCCTCCGTCCATCATGGCTCCTCTCCGGGCCGGACAAACCACCGCCAGTCCGTGCCTCCATCCAGCATTGCTCATCTTCGGGCCTAGCAAACCACGACCAGGCCGGGCCTCCGTCCAGATGGCTCCTCTCCGGGCCGGACAAACCACCGCCAGGCCGGGCCTCCGTCCAGATGGCTCCTCTCCGGGCCGGACAAACCACCGCCAGGTCGAGCCTCCGTCCATCATGGCTCCTCTCCGGGCCGGACAAACCACCGCCAGTCCGTGCCTCCATCCAGCATTGCTCATCTTCGGGCCTAGCAAACCACGACCAGGCCGGGCCTCCATCCAGCATAGCTCCTCTCCGGGCCTAGCAAACCACGACCAGGCCGTGCCTCCATCCAGCATAGCTCCTCTCCGGGCCGGACAAACCACCTCAGCCGTCGGCCTCCATCCAATAGCGGCGCGTGCGGAGGAACCAATCACCACTGCGATTGAAGCAGCCATTACATTTCAATTGCGACCGGTGAGGCTGATGGAAACCGAGCAAACGCTGCGGAGGACGGGCGGGGGGGGGGACAGGAACTGAGGCTAGGCGGAACGAGTGTGAGCTCGCGGTCGCCCCGCCGCGTACCACGCAGTCCGTGGCAGCCCACGCGGGTGGTGGGTGGCCTGCGAATTGCGGCGCTGATACTGGAAAAGGGGCGTCTGAAGGAAACAACACGATCTCACGATCACATGACCACGATTAGTCACACGAATCTGCGGAAAGCGTGTCAGACCGGCGTGCAATCCTCAAAGTGCAGGAAGCTGGCATGGCTGGCTACGACCGTGGCCGGCTTATTTCGACTCAGCTTTGGCGAAATTCAGCTTTGGCGTCTCTGGCCTCTTTATCGAGCACGCCCTCTCTCCCTCTCTCCCTCTCCCCCTCTCTCCCTCTCTCCCTCTCTCCCTCTCTCCCTCTCTCTCTCTCTCTCTCTCTCTCTCTCTCTCATCTCTCTCTCTCTCTCTCTCTCTCTCTCTCTCTCTCTCTCTCACACACGTCTTTCCCACGACAGGTACCCGTCAGGAGCGGTGCCGGGTACCGCTGCCCGTCCGTGCCCCAGTGACGTCACGCAGTCGCGTGTCGGGCGCGCCGTCCGGCCCCGATCGATAGCCCAGCGAGCCGTCGCAGCCGCTGGCTATTGTTTGCGGCGCGCTCACGAAGACAAACGAGCGGGCTCGAGTGGCGCGGCGGAACGCAGCCAGCGATGACCCCCCCCCCCCCCCCCACTCGCCACCTGCAATGGACAGAGTGACAAGGGAACGCGCCGTCATCGCCGCCCTGCGCAGCGCTGGGTGACACACGAAGGCAAACAGGTTTGGTGCCTTGACGGCCACAGCAGTGCAGCGTGACGCGTCGACCGGCGGCCCGGAAGCCTTCAGCCGCCACAACACTCGACAAACGCGTAGGCAAGCAGCGCAGGAACGTTGTCTCCAGGCAGATGATAACGTCGTCTCCGGGCAAATAATAACATCGTCTCAGGGCAACTGATAACGTCGTCTCCGGGCAGATGATAACGCCTTCTCCGGGCATATGATGAAATAGTCTCTAGACAGATGATAATGTCGTTTCCGGGCAGACAACAACGTCATCTTCGGACAGATGATGAAGTCGTCTCCGGGCAAACGATAACGTCTTCTCCGGGCACATGATAACGCCGTCTCTAGGCATATGATGAGGTAGCTTCGAGGCAGATGATAATGTCGTCTCCGGGCAACCGATAACTCGAGCGTCCAGCGCGAGGCGCGCTGAACGCTGCGGAAACGCCACAAACTGGCGCGGCGAGCCGTGGCACTTCCGTGGACTGTGCGCTACGGCGGCGGGACGGTCACCACCCATACACTGACGAGCAGCGGGCGCACCAACCGTGGAACGCCATCTCCAGCGCCTGGTTGTAGATGGGGACCAGGCCCATCGCCAGAGATGGATCGGACAGCCGACGGCCGGGTGGGCCCAGCGACGCTCTGGTTCCTGACAGTCGATGGGTGTTCTGAGCTGGCTATGCAGCTG